CTCTACACTGTTGCTGACATCAGATCAAGACTACCCATTACCACCCTATGACTCTCTTATGTTTCAGGCATCAGTACTTGCTGTTGCATCAATCTCTTTCCTTTGTCCTAACCCTTTTACATTCTTAAATTTTAAACTTTCTAAACCCTTTTAAACTTTTGCCACCCTTCTTCTATTTATTACCCCTTTTAGTTTAGTGCTAATCCCTTTGTAGTGTAGACATGGACCCTACTATGCTGACTGCCACCCCTACTGTCCTGCTAGATCAGCAGTTACAAGCAGAACTAGCTTAATATGTACAGACCTCTATCTAAGAGGCCTTTGCTAACCACATGCCCCCAGCCCCTTCAGAACCTGTTCTAATCGTTCTGGAAGTCACAACCTGTTCTAGAAAGAAAGTACATATAGCCTACCCTTTGGACTTTAATGGGCAGCACTTCAAGGACTTCCAGTACTAAGTCAAACTATACATGGCTACTGCTTCAACCAATCTATCCTCAGATCTTGATTGTGTCCTATTTGTCCTCTCCTTCATGAAGGAAGGCAACACAGCCACCTGGGCCCAGAACTGGATTGAAGGTCATTGGATCAGAAGCCTGATCTGACTTCAGAACAATGAGTTGTACTCAGAATTCATGGGGCAGCTCTGTGCTTCCTTCATTAATCTGAATAAGAAGCACAATGTGTAGAACAAGCTTGTGTCTCTGTAACAGGGCAAACGTTCTGCTAATGCCTTCTTTCAGGAGTTTGATATCCTAGCCTGGAAGGCAGGATTCACACTTGGGTTTAATGATGTCCTCATTAGAATACTTGAAAAAGCTCTTCACCTGGAACTGGTTGATAAGATTCTCAGAATGATGCTGGAACTAGTCACTTACACTAAGTGGAAGACACACACTATCTCCTTTGACTAAGCTACAGCTTGGATACATTAAGTCTGTACAGAATGCTTACACATGTGTCTGGCTCCAACAGTTCTGAGCCCTCAGATTGATCCACCTGTAATTTGCAATCAATCTGTTCTAATAGACATTAGAGAAGCCTAAAAGCAAGGAGCATGCTTTACCTGTAGAAAGTCAGGGTACCAAATTAAGGACTGCTCACAGAAGTAACAGTATATCTGTCAGGTCATTAGAGCAATAACAAGTGATGAGCAGGATTTGTAGTGAGAAGCCTTTTCTACAAATCTAGAAGTCACCTCAGAACTCCTAGACCCTGACTATGTACCCCAGGATTTTGTGGAGGCCCAACAGTGAATACAGTACTGAAGGGCTATAACTTGGATTTTTTAATAGCCACTTTTGATTCAATGGACACTGTAGGATTAGAAGTAAATAAAGTAAGAAAAGTAGAAAAAGTAGAAAAAGTAGAAAAAATAAATCAACAAAATTATTTATTAGAAAGAAAAAAGTCGAAAACAAAAGTAGATAGTTCTCCTATTTCTTCTGATTCTTTTGATTCTTCTCTTTGTACTTCATCTGAGTCTAAATCTGTACAATCCAACCTGCCACTTCTGTGTTTCAAGATCTTGAAACATTCAGAACATTACCCAGCCCTGTTCACCACTCAGTAGTTTGTCTGTAGTATCAAGCAGGGATGGCCTCAGCTGAGTTCACAGCTGAGGACATGGGTCTGTCCTTGTTGAAGGAGAGAGGTTAATAAGGAAATGTTAGCACATATACTCACCCTCTCAGACAATGAGGCTGTACAAGCTGTATGTTCCCTTTAGAACAAGCAGCAGTTCATCTGAGGATGTTCTAGGCACTAGCTCCAGATCCCTGTCCTCTTGACTCCCTTCTCAGGATCCTGCCAGATCCAAACAACAGCTCTAGTAGACAGTGGATGCACTAGTTTGTACATCAATGAGGCCTTTGTGCAGGAACACCACCTCCCTACTCAATGTGTTCTACTTCCAATCCTGGTATACAATACAGACAGAACCCTGAACCAGAATAGTCAGATCACTGAGTTTGTCCAACTACAGATGACCATTCAGGATCATAAGGAAAGTATTGAGTTCAGAGTCACCAACCTTAGAAAGACAGACATCTTTATTAGATTTGAATGGCTCAAGGCTCACAACCCTACCATTGACTAGTTAGAGTAGACACTTGTGTTCAATCAGTGTCCTGAGTCTTACAGTTACCTTACACTACTGTTCTGAGT